GTGAATAGATGTGATAGGTATGCGGCGGCAATACTTATGCAGTAAACATGCAGTGGAAGATGCAAACAACCCATTGCCCATATAATACCAAATTGGACTCTGTTGCCCAGGGATACCCACCCTGTTATCAGGGCTTAGCTGCACTACAATATGCATATGATAAAGCCTCCACCATCACCATGGGATATCCAATTACAATACACACACACCATAAAATAGTGGAGTTCATAGAGCAGGGAAAATGTGTCTTAACCAATGCTAGAACCTTAGAATATATGACCCTACTAACCTACCAAGATGTTTCCATTAAACGATGTAGCACGGTGAACCCAGCTGAAAGAATTCCATTAGAACTTGAGGGACAAGCACATGACTGTGTAGCAGAATCTCTGACGTTTACCAGGCTTAGATCAGACCTAGAGTTAACCCCATTGCTTAACATGGGGGAAGAGTACGTAGAATAATATTTTGTGGATGGGTCCTGTTATAAAGACCATACGGGAAATCATGCAGGTTATGCAGTGGTACGAAAACAAGGAAAGGAGCTTAAAGAAGTGATAGCAGAATACTGTCCACAGCCATGCTCAGCCTAGTTAGCTGAACTAAAAGCACTTACCGCGGCCTGCACTCTAGGAAAAAATAAGACAGTTCACATATATACTGATTCGGCATATGCACATGGGGTATGCCACCTATTTGGGGCAGTCTGGAAACAACGAGGATTTAGAAAAAGTGATGGAACACCCATTCAACATCACGAGCAGATCGTAGAACTAATGACGGCATTAATGTACCCCACAAAGCTGGCAATAATAAAATGTCAGGCGCACAAAAAATGAAATTATTTTGTTTTTAGAGGCAATAACGCGGCAGATGAGGCTTCCAAAAAAGCATCTAAATGCACCATCCCAATATAAACGGTACCAATGGTATTTATCGAATCTGCACCGCAACCAGATGATATAATTAGGATGCAGAAATGGGCAGGGACTTATGAACAAACAATGTGGCACCAAAGAGGGGCCACCAAAGACATGACAGAATTATGGAGGTCTCATGAAGGAACCATAGTAGCACCCACTATGTTGCTTAATCTGCTGATAACTGATGCGCATGGTTTTGACCATTGTGCAAGGGTGGAAGTGGTAAGAAAGAAAAAAAAAAGGATAATGGTCTTCATATTTGCAAGCAATGGTAGATGATGCATTGGCAAAATGTGAAGTTTGTGCGCAAAATAATGTGCGTAAAGGCATAACCACGCCTATAGGTCACATACCAGTCCCAGAGCAACCATTTCGACACCTAGTCATGGATTATGTGGATATGATAAAAAAGGTAAATGGCAAGAGATACATGCTTGTGATAAGTAGAGGTGGTAACATCAGCAGACCTTGGATCAGGGACAGTAATTAAATTCCTAACCAGAGAAGTAATAGCCAGGTTCGGAATACTGACAGAAATCAGCTCAGACAATGGATCAGCATTTATTTAGAAAACGGTCAAACAAGTGCTACAACAGTTAAGGATTAAGTAAAGACTGGGATGTGTATATCAACCAGTCGCAAGGGATGGTTGAGAGAATAAATGGAACCTTCAAGGCTAAATTGAATAAAGATCTGTACTAGTGCAAAGCTTAACTGGGTGGAGGCACTACCACTTGCTTTAATGAGTTATCGCATGCAATCTAACAGAAATACACACCTACCCCGCATGAAATGCTTACAGGTCGACCCATGCCAGTGCCAATTCTAAGAGGACCCTATAAAGGTCCCTTATTGGAACAATTAGAAATGGAACTTAAAGAATATGTGAGACAACTAACTGATATACATAAAGTTATTTATATTCAGGAAAAAAGGCAAGAACCGGAACCCAGACCAGAGGAGCCAGGCCCAGTGATACCAGGGGACCAAGTTTACATCTGAGCGTTCTGCAGAAAGTGGAACGAGCCCAGGAGAGAAGGACCATACACGGTGATCCGAGCAACACCCACGGCGATACAGTTGGAAGGAAGTACAACGTGGTACAATCTGAACCACTGCACCAGGGTCCCAAAGGAATCGGCGTACCACCGGCGAGCCATGAGGAAGCTGAGGATATTGAGGCACCAGGCAGGGTCAAAGAAGAAGAAGAAGCAAGCACGAGCCTCAGCACAAATATCGAAAGCCAGCAGATACTCCCTCCTGAAAATCCAGAGTCAGGGGATGGGGCCTGCTGACGTGTGGAATATTACTAATGGGATACCTGTTGTGGCAGGTGCCCCAAACACAGGTAATAACCCAGGCAACGGAGGGACAACAGGCGATAGAGGGGAAAGTGACTCGCCCACCATCGAGGATAGCGCCTTCCCCACCATTGACTTCTCTGTCCTCCAATGGTCCCCCTAGCGGTAAACGGAAATCAGATCAGTTGAAAAACTGCGGAATGGCCCTAACACTGATAGCAGTTAACCTAGGAAAGATGGTAGTGAGTTTGCCCACAACCATACAGTATTCAAGGGATAGCCTTACTGAACCAGGGAGAATATCTATTATGAATAAAGATCAGGTTCTGCTCACAGGATGGCCAAAATTAGGCAGATGCCAAATAGAAGGGTATGTGTTAATTAGGATGAAATGGCTTAAAGACCATTGTGTAGAAATAACACACAAAAGAGATGTGAATAGGAGGCCTCTAGGAATAGAACATGCAATAATAATGGATATAAAACAAGCCAAACGTCTTATGATCCCAACAATACCTGAGAAACTAACTCCTGAAACTAAAATGAAAATATGTAGTCTAGCGGTTCTAATGGCAAAAATACCTCAGCAAGTGGAGGCCAGACAATGTAACCTGATAGGTCAGATGCATCAACAACCCAGTATAGGAATAACCACACTTAAGGTAATGACTAGTGATCAAAAATGGAAGACCTGGGTGACTCAAACAGAGGATAAATGCAAACTAGATGAACCAGGTTATAAATTGAAAACATATGGAATAGAAGTTAAGTGTCACTACAATTGGTGTACCTTGATAGATTAAATAGATATTACTCTGACCAAAGAAGATGTAAAACAGTACCTAGGACAACAAGTACCAGCATTAGAAATACATTCTCCTGAGAAAGGAGGAACATGCAATATAACCCTAGGAGATGCAAATAGAAAGAGAAGGGACTTGCCCACTAAATGGTACTGCCCTCCCAACCACCACTCCACCCTCAACAGAACAGACAAAATCAGCAGGGGGTCTACAATGGCTGTGGAATATCCTAGGGAGCATAGGTAATTTAGAACCATCATCAAACACGATAGCAACTCCTAAGACAGATGAAACTACCCCTAGAAACAGGGATAAGGCATGGGAGGAAGGATTTTTAAATGATTGGTATAAATGGGCACTGTACTGTATTGTCTAGTATGCGCCCCCTCCCCATTGAAGGAACTGATAGTAGTACCTAGTCCGCACAGCTACAGGGACTGCGCTGACTTTAATCAGAAATTCTGTTACCTCAAAAGATCAGAAAGACCCTATTGCCCTGCGGAATGCTTATCCTACTTAGGAAGTCCCGACCACCACAAGTATTATATTCAAACAGGATGGGGGGAGTGGTGTAAACAATTAGATGTCAGAAAGAAACTAGAAAAATGGAAACACCTGAGAAATATCGAATAGATTATGGGCAGAAGTATGAGTGCTACAACAAAACAATGATTAGGGAAATTTTAAGGGAAAGTGTGAAACTACATGGCACCTGAATAACGATATCTCCTGGAATGCAGACACCCCCCGAAGAGCAACCTATCAGGCAGCAGGGTCAAGTACTGGTGATAGTTACCCCTGGGGGCCCTGGGGAATGCGAGAAGCAGACACTGGCACTACCACTGATCTCTCCTTATGAGGAGCAGTCGGTGGCGGTGGTAGACTTCTATTGGATATGTGGAGGATAAAGAGTTAGAGCCACCCTGCCTAAAAAATGGAAGGGAATATCTGCTCGAGTACAAATGCTTCAGGAAATAGGTATATCAGACTGGGAGTCAGTAAAAACAACAGACTGGGATGCACAGAATAACTATAAAATAATAAAAAGAGAGTGTCAGACTGACCTCGATGTATATTTCCACTCAATAGGTCAGCCTAGAGGATGTGCAAAGCTGCCATCAAGGCAAAGGGTGGCTATTTGAAGAATCTCAAATATAAAATATATTTTGATTTGATTAACACTTTTTTGGTTACTATATGACTCCATATGTGTTATTTAATAGTTTTGATGTCTTCACTATTATTCTACAATGTAGAAAATAGTACAAATAAAGAAAAACCCTTGAATGAGTAGGTGTGTCCAAACTTTTGACTGGTAGTGTATATGGATGATTTATAAAGCCAGGCACATTTAACAGTTAGGCTACTGATTATAAACCTAATTAAGTTGGGGTTTCCTCTCTTCTCACTTTTTTTTGACAATTAAGGCAAGGGCTGTTTTCTCGTCTCCTAACTCTGCTGCTGCCTCCGCCACATTTTTCTCAACACCAATATGCTGGTTAACTTTGCTATTATCCACATAACAACATGGTCTAGGAAAAGGCGCCAATTCAACAGCGCACTGATGTTTCAGAACCACGGACAGCGACCGCTATCAAACGCGGGAGAAAGTGCATTTGATGTAAAATAATATTATTTTTATTAGTGTTGCACCATTGTCCTTAACCATATACAATTTCAGTAACACATGCCTTAGAGTGATGGACTTTGCCATCCCCACGGCCTCCACAATGGATTAGTCCACTCAGACAGGCGCAAATCAGACAGGTGTCTTGTATACCATTATTGTATAATTTTTTTGCTACTGCTTGACTAAAGCGATCTCGGTCGACCAACAGCCTATCAACCAAACAATCGACTAAATGGGGTCAGCCCTACCGCCGTTATAGCTGCATGGATCAAAGTGCTGATGCAAGAGGCCTGGAACCTGTTTCCCTAGAGTATTCAAGTCGTCCAGCTCCATCGGCACCCACCGCAGAGTCCAACTGATCACTGTGTCGGGAATGGAGCGTGCATAAGCACTGACGGGATGGCCTTCTAGAAAACAAGAACAGTCAGACATAGGACATCCCCAATAGATGCCATAGGACAAGGGCTGCATAAATGCACAGAACTGTTAGACTCCATACTGCTACCCCGTAACCCCACCAACTGCGCATGACATGGAAAATGCTGGTTTGCTAGCTGGCGAATCACATACTCACTTGCAATGTTGAGAACTGCCAGTTGAGGGAGTTCCCTCAGCCATGTTTTCAGGTGGCACTTTCTGGAATCCACAGGCACAGGTCTCTGTAGTCCACAGATAGGCTGTGCAGGGAGGGCAGGCACTTTATTGTCTCTTCATATCAGGTGGGCTCCATGTAGTCAAGAAGCTCCAGACTGGTCAAGCAAGGTTGCCTGACCTGCGGATCTTCTAAAGACTGTTTGTCCTTATTGCAGAACTTAATAACATGCAATTTATGATGATATAGGTTACTACAGACAATGACATACAGTGGGGAGAACAAGTATTTGATACACTGCCGATTTTGCAGGTTTTCCTACTTACAAAGCATGTAGAGGTCTGTAATTTTTATCATAGGTACACTTCAACTGTGAGAGACGGAATCTAAAACAAAAACCCAGAAAATCACATTGTATGATTTTTAAGTAATTCATTTGCATTTTATTGCATGACATAAGTATTTGATCACCTACCAACCAGTAAGAATTCCGCACTCACAGACCTGTTAGTTTTTCTTTAAGAAGCCCTCCTGTTCTCCACTCATTACCTGTATTAACTGCACCTGTTTGAACTCGTTACCTGTATAAAAGACACCTGTCCACACACTCAATCAAACAGACTCCAACCTCTCCACAATGGCCAAGACCAGAGAGCTGTGTAAGGACATCAGGGATACAATTGTAGACCTGCATAAGGCTGGGATGGGCTACAGGACAATAGGCAAGCAGCTTGGTGAGAAGGCAACAACTGTTGGCACAATTATTAGAAAATGGAAGAAGTTCAAGATGACGGTCAATCACCCTCGGTCTGGGGCTCCATGCAAGATCTCACCTCGTGGGGCATCAATGATCATGAGGGAGGTGAGGGATCAGCCCAGAACTACACGGCAGGACCTGGTCAATGACCTGAAGAGAGCTGGGACCACAGTCTCAAAGAAAACAATTAGTAACACACTACTCCGTCATGGATTAAAATCCTGTAGCGCACGCAAGGTCCCCCTGCTCAAGCCAGCGCATGTCCAGGCCCGTCTGAAGTTTGCCAATGACCATCTGGATGATCCAGAGGAGGAATGGGAGAAGGTCATGTGGTCTGATGAGACAAAAATAGAGCTTTTTGGTCTAAACTCCACTCGCCGTGTTTGGAGGAAGAAGAAGGATGAGTACAACCCCAAGAACACCATCCCAACCGTGAAGCATGGAGGTGGAAACATCATTCTTTGGGGATGCTTTTCTGCAAAGGGGACACGACGACTGCACCGTATTGAGGGGAGGATGGATGGGGCCATGTATCGCGAGATCTTGGCCAACAACCTCCTTCCCTCAGTAAGAGCATTGAAGATGGGTCGTGGCTGGGTCTTCCAGCATGACAACGACCCAAAACACACAGCAAGGGCAACTAAGTAGTGGCTCCGTAAGAAGCATCTCAAGGTCCTGCAGTGGCCTAGCCAGTCTCCAGACCTGAACCCAATAGAAAATCTTTGGAGGGAGCTGAAAGTCCGTATTGCCCAGCGACAGCCCCAAAACCTGAAGGATCTGGAGAAGGTCTGTATGGAGGAGTGGGCCAAAATCCCTGCTGCAGTGTGTGCAAACCTGGTCAAGACCTACAGGAAACGTATGATCTCTGTAATTGCAAACAAAGGTTTCTGTACCAAATATTAAGTTCTACTTTTCTGATGTATCAAATACTTATGTCATGCAATAAAATGCAAATTAATTACTTAAAAATCATACAATGTGATTTTCTGGATTTTTGTTTTAGATTCCGTCTCTCACAGTTGAAGTGTACCTATGATAAAAATTAGACCTCTACATGCTTTGTAAGTAGGAAAACCTGCAAAATCGGCAGTGTATCAAATACTTGTTCTCCCCACTGTACATAGCAATATTTCAACATGGACTTCACACACTAAACAGAACATAGACCTATGAAGTGATCAGCTAGTGGAAACCAAGTGGTAGGTTTAGGCTTATCATTCATTGTACCACCAATGCTTTGTATAAGTAGTAAAAATAAACTTTGGTACAATCAATCACTGTTGTCTTGGGTTGTAACTCTGTGCCTTACCTGGAGAGCCATTTATTGTTTTGTCAAGATTAAAATAACAATCTGTGAGAGAGCCATGTTGTGTTCCCATTTTCAAAGACCGACGCTTCAGATGTGGCAAGCGGTTAAGCATTATGTGGAATGTCTGTCTTGGGTTAAGATGATTGCCTTCGTGATAAAAGAGATGCCAGATGGGGTCTTTGAGACAGCACTAATAATATCTGCTCTTGGAGCACAGTGCATCTCACACATAATAAAATGAGTCACAACAATGGAATCAGACACTCCCTGGCCACAGCTACACCTGCGAATAGCCAGCCTCTTCAAGTTATGAAATTGCTTGATAATTTCAAAGGCTTTCACGTCGAAACAATGCTCCATGGCTATTGTCTTGAGCCAAGAGAGGGATAGGGCAAGCTGTTTCCATTCTTTCAAACTTGCCCTCTGTACAACAATTGAGATGATTTTCCTACTGCGAATAGTTGTCCAGAACTGCGAGGTGTAGGCACACAGCTTTTTAAGCATTACTGTGTTGCCTTTCCAAAGAGACCAGTGGTCAACCAGTTTTTAAAATTATTTGCAGCATGATTGAATGTTACGTTGACAGATATCCAAACACATGGACCCATACCTCCGATGGTAACTTAGTTGTGCAGATCCCACCACATGAAGTGCCATATCTAAGCAGCTGCTGCTATTTTCATCTCTTCTTCACTGCAGGCATTAGCAGGAAAAATTGGTTAAAAGTAAATACACCCCAAAACTACTATATGCTCACACTTTTCTTCAAAATGTGAGGTTTGTTTGAGTTCTTTTGACAGCACGCTCCATGCCATGGGGCATCTCGGTGAACATAAGTTGTTTGTGGAAGTGACGCGTTTGACATCGCCGTCCAATCACACGACTTCTGAAGTTCAAAATACAGCAGGTCTCCGCTGTGAGTGAAGTTAGCTAGCTAACGTTAACTAAATGTTTGCTATTTTACAGTTTAAATATGTATAATTAATGCAGGCATTCACAATAGTATGTAATATATAATTACTGTCTAGATGTAAACCAGGAATAAGAGCAAATGCTTTACCTTTGAATCGGGAGATGCCATTGCATGTAACTTAGCAGCTAGCTGGCTAACTAATGTTAGCTACCTATCCAGTCGTTAACGTCTCGGCCAAAATCGTGAAAAACATGTTTACTCCGTCAAGACAAAACAGAGAATCTGCTTATTTTAATGAAGAAAGTCAATTTGGTGGAGAGTCAATTATTTTCCCCACATTGAAGGCTTTGAGGACAAGCGACCCAATACCCAGGCGACTCGTTGAAAGCCCAGCCAAGGTTTTTGCGAGGATGAAGGCTAGAGTTCAGACAGAGAGAATAGCGGTTGAGAATGAGGGGACCAAAACACCTAAACCTGTCCAAGAAAAACGAGTTAGAGGAAAAAATGTCAGAGAAAAGCGAGTCCAAGAAAAACATGGTGGAGTAATGAGTTCGCCAAGAAAAATACATCAGCCTTGGGTGAACTATGAACAAAAGGAAAACGAGGACCTTGAATTCACTAATGAGGCAGAGGCTCTGACCCTTTCACCAGGTCAATCACCAAGGAAGGGCTTGACGCATCCATACTTTGTGGTCCACAAACAAGACCTTCAACGACCATCACCTCAGAAAGACATGGGTAGTGCATTCAAGCCAACCAACAGAAATACACCCATGAAAGGCCCACCTCTGGATGCTTTCTCAGTAGCATGGTCTCCAAGGAAAGCGTTGTCTCATCCCAAGGAAAGCCAGACCTTTGACTTCACTAATGAGGCTGAGGCTCTGACCCTTTCACCAGTTCAATCACCAAGGCAGAGTTTGACACATACGTACTTGGTCCACACAGAAGACCTTCAAAGACCTTCACCCTTGAAAGACATGCATAGTGCATTCAAGCCAACCAACAGAAATACACAAAATAAGGGCTTAACTCTGGATGCTTTCTCAACACAGTCCCCAAAGAAAGCTTTGTCATACCTGTACACTCAACTCAGCTCAAATGACATCCAACAACCAGCCCCCCCAAAATACTTCAAAGGGGCCTTCCAGACAACCAACAGAACTACACCAGTGAAAAGGTCAACGCAAAGGTCGAAGTCAACTGAAGATTATAATGGAAAAACTGCATTTGGGGCACATGACATTGTACAAGATCCTTCGGTTTTCAGTAAGTTGTGATGTTTCTCTTATTCTCAATTATTGTGTCAATCAACTAAGGTTGCTAGGTTGTCAGAAATACTTTAATTGAAGACTTTAAGATAGATTATTCATTTTTTATGTTTTTAAAAACAAAGGTTTTCTGCACAGGGTGTCATGTTGCTTTGGATAGACTGCCCTTTCTGGAATCTCCAGCAAATATGTGTTCTCTCCTGTTAGAGAGAAGGCAAAAGAGGGACCAACAAGATGGTTATCAAGTGAGCAGCCCGCAGGATCCCATAACTGGAGGTGAGAGCTAGAAATGTAGAGCATCTGATGTCGACTCAACAAACAGAGCAATCTTTCAAACCACCTTTCTCTGCTCTTCACAGGATGTGCCCGTGTGCGCAGCATGTTGACCCCTGCACATGTCGCCGGGGGGAATGAAGAGGATGCCAGTGTGAATGTGACCTGTGGTGTCGCCGCAGTGCCCACTAGCCTATCAGAGACCAGTGTTCCCTCGAGTCCAGAGGCCGGCCCCAGCCAGTGTGGGTACTACTGTGCCGAGCCTCCCCCTAGGCCCCTCCCAGACCTGGTGCACGACCACCTCCTGCAGGTCTCACCAAAGATCTCCATCCCCAAGAAGCAAGAGGCTGTATTCCAATCCAAGCAGATTGCAGAGTCCAATGGATCTAATGTAAGTAGATGGTCTTGATGGTGCTGTTTCATCTGAGTTTGTTGCTGTTAGCTTTGTATTTTTGCTGGGAAGTTATGTTCTCTTGTATGGTATCTGGTGTGACCACCACCATTTGCCTCATGCAGCGCGACACATCTCCTTCGCATAGAGTTGATCAGGCTGTTGATTGTGGCCTGTGGAATGTTGTCCCACTCTTCTTCAATAGCTGTGCGAAGTTAGTGGATAATGGCGGGAACTGGAACACGCTGCCGTACACGTCGATCCAGAGCATGTCTGGTGAGTATGCAGGCCATGGAAGAACTGGGACATTTTCAGCTTCCAGGAATTGTGTACAGATCCTTGAGACATGGGGCTGTGCATTATTATGCTGAAACATGAGTTGATGGTGGCGGATGAATGGCACAACAATGGGCCTCAGGATCTCGTTACGGTATCTCTGTACATTCAAATTGCCACCGATAAAATGCAATTGTGTTCGTTGTCCGTAGCTTATGCATTCCCATACCATAACTCCACGGCCATCATGGGGCACTCTGTTCACAACGTTGACATCCAAACCGCTCGCCCACACGACGCCACACACGCTGTCTGCCATCTGCCCGGCACAGTTGAAACCGAGATTAATCTGTGAAGAGCACATTTCTCCAGCGTGCCAGTGGCCATCAAAGGTGAGCATTTGCCCATTAAAGTCGTTTACGACACCGAACTGCAGTCAGGACAAGACCCTGGTGAGGACAACGAGCACGCAGATGAGCTTCCCTGAGACAGTTTCTGACAGTTTGTGCAGAAATACTTCGGTTGTGCAAACCCACAGTTTCATCAGCTGTCCGGGTGGCTGGTCTCAATATACGGACAGGTGAGACAAAAAAACTGGTTGCTGTTCATTTTGTACAAGCTGGACATCCTATTAGTTCTCTGAAATGCATTGGAATATAAATGGTCAAGATGTCACGCGGGGGAGGGAACATTGAGAGTAAACTAATTCAAAGGGAATCTTTCTGGATCCACTTGGCCTTAACGAGGAGTTCGACTTAAAACAATTTTTATAGTTCCAAAATGTCCAAATCATTGTGTTTTCTATCCTAACTGAATATTGTGTATATATATTACTGTAGATATTGATCACATTCCTTGTGTATGGTCATATATTGTTATACATTGAATGTTGATATTGTGAACCTATGTTATATATTCTTACCTCCTGTTTCAGGAAGTGATGTCACTGAGTACTGCCCCTGTATATAGGACCTTCCACCCACACCTGGGATATGGATGCTTGATGAAGACCTAAGGGTCGAAACGTTGTTATAATAAAATCACCAGGGAGCATGAGCAGCAGTGTGCAGCATTTTCATCTTCATTTTCCATCTTTTATTTCAGCTCCTGAAACATGGGACCAACACTTTACATGTTGCGTTTATATATTTGTTCAGTGTACGTGATCGATATCTACCTATATAACTATTAATGTCTATTGCTTCATAGGCTACAGGAATTCACCTTAGGCGCTGGATCCTGAAGGGTAGTAGCAGCAGCCTGTATGTGGAAGGTTTCCGTGTGTAAGTAGAATTGATTGTTTCTCGGAATCATATTCTAAAGTGATACCACAGGTTCAATAGCAAGTCATTATTTTGGTAAACGCAAATGTTGATTCACTTACTTATCTCTATGATTTTCCACCAAGGGACAACAAAATGCCCTGGCATAGCAACACCATCGCAGAGCGAATGTCAAGCAACATCCTGAAAACCACATCGGGCAGCACTTACGTCCTGGTGGGGAAAATGGCCCCGGATCTCAGCGGAACTCGTAAATCAGAAATAATGTTCCATTTTGGAATATGTGTTAATCATGCACAGCCATAATAGAACTCATTATGATGCTTTCTTCTTGTTTTTGTGCCTTTCTCCTCGACAAGAACTCCCAACATGGCTGTTGAAGAAGTTTCTCTTTGGCTTCCCAAAGAATTGGAAGGAATACCTTGAGCGCTTTTTGTCAGAGCCGAAAGGGTAAGTTGTGTCTCTGAGGTCGTGCCATTTGTGTCAAGCGTCTGAGTAGGAGTGATATGCTGATCTAGGATCAGGTCCCCCCGGTGTCCATGTGTTCTTATTCATAGGCTGCGTTTACACAGGCAGCCCAATTCTAATCTTTTTTTGACAAATCAGATCAGCTCTTTTGCCAATAACTGTGCAGTAGATCATAATTTGGTAAACGCAGCCGTATTGATCTAAAAGGCAAAACTGATTCGAAATCAGTACTCCTATTCTGAAAGGCTTGATGCCTACTGCCCCAGGTCAGGTCGTTAAAAGAGAACGTGTTCTTTTCAATGACATACCTGGATAAATAAAGGCAATGCATAAAATCCTCTGATTTCAATAGGTCTTTATCTGTCTCTTGGGCTATTCAGGTTTAACGAGTGTTGTAGTCATATCTGTTTGTGTTAACATCTAGTGCTTCTATTTTGTCAATTGTTTGTAATGACAAATGCAGTTCAGAAGCTGACAACAGTAAAGGTCCAAAAGGGAGCAAGGACCTGGTAACGCCCCAGAACCAAAACCACCTCTCCACCAAGATGCAGTCTTCCACATCCCTGAAGCTAAAGGCCACTAAGAGACGTGAGTCCAAAAGTTGGCTTCACAAATGCTCACTGTATTTATACTGGTAGTACTCATGTCTCTTGTTTTAATTATTGATTGAACAACAAATTAATCTATAGATGAATTTATATTTATAAATCTGGGAAGGTTCATCCTATTCATGTTTAATATTGCTCATCCAACAGCTGCTCCTTGCAGTGCCACCTCTGAGGCGAGCCGTGCTAAGGTTTCCCGGAGTGGCCGCCTTCTCAAGACCCCTCTGGAGTACTGGAAAGGGGCCAGAGTCATCTTGGATTGTGACATGAACGTCACCATTCTATCAGGTTATGGCGAGTCGTCCATCCTTCAATCGGTAAGCTGCTGCTGCTCCATTTTTTCCTGTATATTGTAGAGCAGTGTACCCCAAGCCACTTATTTAAGTATTTAATGTATTCCAGTTCTAACACACCTGAATCAACTAATCACCAAGCCCTTCATTTGTTGAATTAGGTGTGCTAGTTCTGGAATACATCCAATACGTGGAATGGCTGGGGGTTGCTGAGAGGTTTGGGAAACACTGTTGTAGAGTGAGTTATCGCGTTGCTGCGTTAAACTGATAAGTTATTTCCTTTCTTTCTCAGCGAATAAGTACACCTGTAGCCAGAAAATTGTCACTGCTACCACCAAAATCAGCCAAGGTGTTATTAACTCCAGCAGAAGGTATGTTTTTTCTGTACATAAGCTTGGGAATGCCTTTATCCTCGTATCCCAGCTCCAACAAAGATGGCGACTACAGTTTATTTGACAGTGTTGTGTTGTGTTCTACAGAGCGGCTGCGAGATGACACCAGTGAGGAGGCTGTGCCACTGAGAAAAGTGACGGCCTATCACAGGCCTCAGAGGTCGAAGCCAGAGAAGAACCCCTCTCCCGGGACCCCCAAGTCTCAGAGGGGTAAGGCTGAGGACAACCCCACTCCCGGGGGCCCCGAAAGGCCCAAGAAGACCAGCCCAGAGCCTCCCAGGTTCATATCTTTAGAGAACCCCTCTAACAGGGGCCACGGAAGACCCAAGAAGACTAGTCCAAACTCTCAGTGGTCTAAGCCTGAGAACCTCTCCACCAGAGGCCCCGGAAAACCGAAGAGGGCCAGCCCAGCATCTCTGAGGTCCAAGTCTGAAGTGATCCTCTCTCCTAAGCACCTGGGACAGCCCAGGAAAACCAGCCTAAGGTCTCAGAGTGCAGCAGCGCCGGCCGCATACGCAGACCCTGCCCCACAATTCCTGACCCCTCCACATCGCTCCCTCCAGGGCGCCAACAAACAGAGCAGCCATGACGACTCGGACAACACCAATACACCCACAGAACTGTTGCCAGGGAAACCGATTAAGGGTTCAGATAAAGCAGACCGGAAAGTGCTTGAAATGCCAAAGATAAGGGTTAGTCGTCAGAAGAAGCTCCCAGCGAAGCTCCATGATGACATCGAGATGGAGGGGAAAGACACAGGGAGTCGTGCGCCCACAAAGACCGGGTCAGCTGCCATGGGTAGGAGTAGGAACGTTCAGGGCAGTGGTAGTGGTACTGCCGAGGAGTCCCAGTCTGATGACAATTTCGCACCTAAAAAAAGGCCTAAGGCAAAGGCAGTCAAATCAGGACCCATAAAGCCACGGGGTATGAGGACATGTGGAAGGGTTCCGAAAGGTTCCGAATCAGCGACGAGTCAGTTGTTGACTTCCTCGGACGACTGTAAGAGGGAATTGACGAAAAGGGCTGTCCCGCAGACACCAAGAGAAAAAGTGGGAAAATTTGCCAGGGTTCAGCAGGGAAAAAAGGAAGAAAATGCAGATCAGTGGACAGAGGCGGAACTTCTGAGACTACATGAGTAAGTTGCTATCCACATAGGGCGTCATTTTGCATGCATCGCTCAGTTTACTTAACTCTGGTTAAACAATGGTCTCCTTATAACGCACTTTGTTGAAGAAAAGTTTCAAGCAAGCTAGCATGTATAGGCCTAAATGTGTGCAAATTGCTTTGTTTATATAGAAACAGGACTGTATTAGTGTATGTCAACTTCCGGTGTGTGTGTGTTTGGCATTCAGGGCTGTTACATCATTTCCTAAAAACATGAATAACTTCTGGTTGAACGTTGGCATGGGGGTGGGCACCCGTTCAGCCGAGGAGTGCCAGGAGCAGTACAACGCCCAGGCCGCCACCAAGTCCACGAAGAAAAAGGAAGTGCCCCAAAAGAAGGAGCTATGTAAGTTACTTTATCTAGTATTTTTATCCATATCATGGGACCTTATATGTCTTAGTGAAGGTCTCCCATACAAGCTCTAACCATGACAACCAATGCTTAGCATCTGTGATTGTTCATGGCTTTTACCAGTGTTCTACCGTAGTGTTGGTCTTTTATTAATGAATTAACTCAATGACAGAACACATTGGGCTCTCACTGATTGCAATTTATTTTAATGGTGAACAATAGGTTTTTTATTGAATCAAAATCTATACAGTCTGTACGTCAATAAGAATTACCGAGAATTTATGTGACAATGTCATATATTATATTTGAACTGTAGTGACGGAACCACCCCAGATAACCGCGAGAAAGGGCACACTGAAGCGGAAGCAGCAGGTGAGGAACCTCCTGGACCACATGCCCAAAGACGACCACGATGACATCTTCAACAGCTCTCCCATGCAGAACAAGCGGGTCAAGGTGTGTTGTGTTTCCGCCTGGGGTGCAACGTCTCAAACACTCAACAATGTTGCCGTTTTTGGTTCTTTAGGAAAATATTGCATATGTACATTAAGTGGTGCTGGAGGTCAAATAATATATTCAGCAAAATTCAAAGACTCCTCCACACACTAAAGTTTTGTATTCTTCCAACGTGTGTCCTTAAGCCAATATAGATATAGATTGTCATCTTGCTTGCATGTGCAAAATGTATATTTAACAACTGCTAATATATACAGTTGAAGTCGGAAGTTTACATACTCCTTTGCCAAATACATTTAAACTCAGTTTTTCACAATTCCTGACATTTAATCCTAGTAAAAGTTCCCTGTTTTAGGTAAGTTAGGATCACCACTTGTGAAATGTCAGAATAATAGTAGAGAGAATGATTTATTTCAGCTTTTATATCTTTCATCAGATTCCCAGTGGGTCAGCAGTTTACATACACTCAATTAGTATTTGGTAGCATTGCCTTTAAATTGTTTAACTTGGGTCAAACGTTTCGGGAAGCCTTCCACAAGCTTCCCACAATAAGTTGGGTGAATTTTGGCCCATTCCTCCTGACAGAGCTGGTGTAACTGAGTCAGGTTTGTAGGCCTCCTTGCTCGCACATGCTTTTTCAGTTCTGCCCACAAATGTTCTATAGGATTGAGGTCAGGGCTTTGTGATGGCCACTCCAATACCTTGACTTTGTTGTCCTTAAGCCATTTTGCCACAACTTTGGAAGTATGCTTGGGGTCATTGTCATTTTGGAAGACCCATTTGCGACCAAGCTTTAACTTCCTGACTGATGTCTTGAGATGTTGCTTCAATATATCCACATCATTTTCCTTCCTCATGATGCCATCTATTATGTGAAGTGCACCAGTCCCTCCTGCAGCAAAGCACCCCCACAGCATGATGCTGCCAACCCCGTGCTTCACGGTTGGGATGGTGTTCTTCGGCTTGCAAGCCACCTCCTTTTTCCTCCAAACATAACAATGGTCATTATGGCCAAACAGTTCTATTTTTGTTTCATCAGACCAGAGGACATTTCTCCAAAAAGTACGATCTTTGTCCCCATGTGCAGTTGCAAACCATAGTCTGGCTTTTTTATGGTGGTTTTGGAGCAGTGTCTTCTTCCTAGCTGAGCGGCCTTTCAGGTTATGTCGATATAGGACTAGTTTTACTGTGGATATAGATACTTTTGTACCTGTTTCCTCCAGTATCTTCACAAGGTCCTTTGCTGTTGTTCTGGGATTGCTATGCACTTTTCGCACCAAAGTACGTTCATCTCTAGGAGACAGAACGCGTCTCCTTCCTGAGCGGTATGACGGCTGCGTGGTCCAATGGTGTTTATTATACTATTGTTCGTACAGATGAACGTGGTACCTTCAGGCGTTTGGAAATTGCTCCCAAGGATGAACCAGACTTGTGGACGTCTACAGTCTTTTTTCTGAGGTCTTGGCTGATTTCTTTTGATTTTCCCATGATGTCAAGCAGAGGCACTGAGTTTGAACGTAGGCCTTGAAATACATCCACAGGTACACTTCCAACTGACTCAAATGATGTCAATTAGCCTATCAGAAGCTTCTAAAGCCATGACATCATTTTCTGGAATTTTCCAAGCTGTTTAAAGGCACAGTCAACTTAGTGTATGTAAACTTCTGACCCACAGTGAAAAATTATAAGTGAAATAATTCCAAACGCCTGAAGGTACCACGTTCATCTGTACGAACAATAGTATAATAAACACCATATATATATATATATATATATATATATATATATATATATAGTAGCAGTCAAAAGTTTGGACACACCTACTCATTCCAGGGTTTTTCTTTATTATTACTATTTTCTACATTGTAGAATAATAGTGAAGACATCAAAACTATGAAATCACACATGGAATCATGTAGTAACCAAAGAAGTGTTAAACAAATCAAAATATATTTTAAATTTTAGATTCTTCAAAGTAGCACTCCATCACTCTCCTTCTTGGTCAAATAGCCCTTACACAGCCTGAAAAACAAATGATAGTCCCACGAAGCGCAAAACAGATGGGATGGCGTATCGCTGCAGAATGCTGTGGTAGCCATGCTGGTTATGTGTGCCTTGAATTCTAAATAAATCACAGACGGTGTCACCAGCAAAGCACCATCACACCACCTCCTCCATGCTTCACTGTGGGAGCAACACTTGCAGAGATAATCCGTTCACCTACTCTGCGTCTCACAAAGACACGGCGGTTGGAACCAAAAATCTCAAATTTGGACTCATCAGACCAAAGGACACATTTCCACCGGTCTAATGTCCATTGCTCGTGTTTCTTGGCCCAAGCAAGTCTCCTCTTCTTATTGGTGTCCTTTAGTAGTGGTGTCTTTGCAGCAATTTGACCATGAAGGCCTGATTCACGCAGTCTCCTCTGAACAGTTGATGTTGAGAGGTCTGTTACTTGAACTCTTTGAAGCATTTATTTGGGCTGCAATTTCTGAGGCTGGTAACTCTAATGAACTTATCCTCTGCAGCAGAGGTAACTCTGGGTCTTCCTTTCCTGTGGCGGTCCTCATGAGAGCCAGTTTCATCATAGAGCTTGATGGTTTTTGCGACTGCTGTTGAAGAAACATTCAAAGTTCTTGAAATTTTTCGGATTGACTGACCTTCATGTCTTAAAGTAATGATGGACTGTCGTTTCGCTTTGCTTTTTTGAGCTGTTCTTGCCATAATATGGACTTGGTCGTTTACCAAATAGGGCTATCTTCTGTATACCAACCCTACCTTGTCACAACACTCAATTGGCTCAAATGCATTAAGAAGGAAAGAAATTCAACAAATTAACTTTTAACAAGGCACACCTGTTAAATGAAATGCATTCCTGGTGACTACCTCATGAAGCTGGTTGAGAGAATGCCAAGAGTGTGAAAAGCTGTCATCAAGGCAAAGGTGGCTACTTTGAAGAATCTCAAATATAAAATATATTTTGATTTGTTTAACACTTAGGTTACTACATGATTCCATATGTGTTATTTCATAGTGTTGATGTCTTCACTATTATTCTACAATGTAGAAAATAGTAAAAATAAAGAAAAACCCTTGAATGAGTAGGTGTCCAAACTTTTGACTGGTACTGTATGCTTGCTTCTCTTCCATTTCTAAAAGCTTGTATGTGCAAAATGCAGCTGATAGCTTCACTTGTTTCTCTGAAGCTTACAAAAAACGTGCAGCAATCAGAAAGGTATTGCCTAAACTAACCGTGTGCTCTCTTGTGAATTAGTTGCCCACAGTGTCTCCCAATAGGAAGGAGGATGTGTTCATGCGCTCTGAGCAGGACCCACAAACCCCCAGTTCATCACGCTTCCCATCAGTGAAAACTCCTCAGTGTCTCCACATCACCCAGGGCATGATGGGCTCAGTGAACCGGTAAACAGAACTATACCACTGACATGGTGGTCCTCGGTAGCTCAGTTGGAAGAGCATGGCGCTTGCAACACCAGGATAGTGGGTTCGATTCCCGGGACCACCCATATGTAAAATGCATGCATGACTAAGTCGCTTTGGATAAAAGTGTTTGCTAAAATGGCGAAAGGCTACCCCAATCGCTGCTTATAGAATGAGCAATTTAATACTGTATTTAAGTTGTAATGTGTGCGGTTTGTTTTTAAATCATTCACTCATTGGCTATTACAAGAGCGGTGGTACTACCGGTAAATGAACGGTTATGTTGGTTTTTTCAAAACATTCTAAAATCTGAAACTTTTCATCAAATGTTTCAGAGGCAACGATGACAAGTATGTCTACCAACTTCAAAAAAAAATGAAAAAAAGCCAAGCTAAGCTGCATAAATTGGGGGCCGCTTCAAAGGTATGCTGTTTTGAATGGAATATTTCTGAGGAGCTTATCGACAAAATAATGGCTTTGTTCAGTCATATACAGGATGCCTTGGGCCATTGTGAAAATGAAGCTGTCTCAAAGATGCCATGAACAACTCTAGGGCAGTGCTCTGGAAAAAATGTGATAGTCAGGAGAGGATACCTTTAAAGTCTTTCACTGTTTATAGTTTTGAGTTCTTATTTTTACAGAATGTTCTTTTTTTTAACATCTGCATTTTCCATCATAGCACATGCCAACTCCATCAGCCAAACATGTTTTGAAGAGATGCAATATCGGTAAGTGTTATTTTTTAATGAAGATTTTTCTTGAGGTATTTTATACTTTTTCTGAACTTGAGAATTTGGAAACCTTATTTACTCAATAATATGTTTACTTGTCTTTCAGCGGAGAATGATTCTTCTTTTGTGGTGTGGGAAATGTTCCCTGATAAGGAGGACCATTCAGTGGAAAGTGGGGAAGAAGAGGACTATTATTTCATGGATGACGACTGACTAACAGATTCCCCATTGGTAGACATCAGAGGCAAATGGGCCGAAACTGGGAGGGATCTACCTGAATTTGTCAAATAGAAAACGCTTGTTGTCGTTGCAAAACATTTCTTGTTGCAAAACGTTTTGCTACTGTTTGCACTAATGAATATACCCCTTGTTCAGATGATTTCGTTTTAAATCAGAAAGTGAAATACTCCAAGATTCTCAATAGATAAATATAGACTATAGTAATGTCAATTAGGTTATTTGATTCAAACCCCACTGCTGTTGTTTAAAATGTTTTGTTTGTAATATTGTGCCACTGAAGGCAAAGTTGTTTATATTGTGCCACAAAAGGCAAAGGTTTTTGCAATAAATGTTAGGACAATTTTGTTCATTGTGGTTGTTTCCAATACTTTATCACCAAAAACAGGCAAAGATGGTACCTTCTCTAGTATGCTGTAATGCTCAGTGGTGGAAAAAGTACCCAACTGTCAGACTTGAGTAAAAGTAAAGATAACTTAATAGAAAATGACTCAAGTGAAAGTCACCCAGTAAAATACTAAAAGTAAAAGTATTTGGTTTTAATTAAATATACTTAAGTATCAAAAGTAAATGTAATTGCTAAAATATACTTAAGTAAAAGTATAAAGAATTTAAAATTCCTTAAGCACCATTTTCTTGTTTTTTATATATATATTTATTCATAGCCAGGTGCACTCCAACGCTCAGATTTAATTTACAAACGAAGTATGTGTGTTTAGTGAGTCTGCCAGAACAGAGGCAGTAGGGATGATCAGGGATGTTCTCTTGATAAGTGTGTGAATTGGACAATTTTCCTGTCCTGTTAAGCATTCAAAATGTAACGAGTACTTTTGGGTGTCAGGGAAAATGGAGTAAAAACGACATTATTTTCTTTAGGAATGTAGTAAAATAAAATACAGATACCCCAAAAAAGTAGTACTTTAAAGTATTTTTACTTAATGCTTGAGTTTCACAAATCTAGTTCATTGCACCACTCATACAAATGTGGATTATAATGAGTCATTTATTTATGAAATTCTAAAGTGTAAGAATAAGCACTTCGTACTTCAAAAAGCTGATTGCAACATCATGGGATTTGAGCGTTTGCAGCATTTTGTCCTTTATGCCGGTTACGAGTCACGTGACAGGCTACAGCCCATCTGGTCATGTGATTAGGAACCGCAACTAATATTATCGAGCAAACAACAATTCGAAAACAGTCAGTCCTTGCGTGGAGAGTCAACGAATGTCACCAAAATGAGGATTCTGTAAGTATTTCGATGACATTTTGTATTGTTTAGAATGCGACAAGAATAACTACTGTAGTCCTCGTGGTTTTTGCTTCTAGCTAAAAGGCTAAATTGTTGACCTATTTTACATGAAGACCTTTGGGCTATACTTCCTTGTTTTTTTACAGTTTGCACTTTTTATTTGTTGACTAAGCTATTCTAGAGATTGTATTTGTTTTGTGCACGATTTCAACTGAGGGAGGCGTCGACAATCTCTGTTGCAGCCTTGCACAGGCAGTAACACAGAGGCAGATCCTTTGTTTAGCACAGAGGTCAAACGTTTTCTGAATGTTATACTTTAATTTTGCTGATTTTATAATGCTCTCGCACATTTTATTAATGGTTTTCTCTGATATTTTGTTTGTAAACACCCTCTTATTTACTTTAGGTTGGCCTTCAGTGTCCTCATATGCAGCTCATTGGTTTTGAGTGAACATCTTGAGGCTGATCAAGATATCTTGTGAGCAAACAACCCTAACATTGTAAAGTTTTTGGAAATGAACCGCTACAATGTGTGATTTACCATCATTTGAAGCTACATCACATAATGTATTTTCAGGATACCAGAAGACTGGACTCGTGTAGGCAGGATCTCCTCCACAGAGAAGTTGGAGCTGACCTTTGCTTTGAGACAGCAGAATGTGGACCAACTGGAAGACCTGCTGCTACTGGTTTCGGACCCTGAGTCGGCACAATATGGTAGAAATCATTCTCATGCTTAAAACGGCAAACATTTTACACCATTCCTGGGCTCACTAACAATCAAATAGATTTTGAGGAGATGAAACTTACTGACTTTTATCCCCTTGGATAATTGATATCATTGGATACATTGGATAATATGCATTACTGTGTACTCCTTTACAGCACTGTGTCAATTATGTCTGTGTTAGGCAAGCATCTGACTCTAGAGGAGGTGGCTGCTCTAATACGTCCATCCCAGCTGACCCAGAAAGTGGTTCGTCACTGGCTGCAGAGTCACGGGGTCACAGACTGCCAGACCATCCTCACTCAGGACTTCCTCCAATGCTCCATGACCACGCAGTAAGGGCCTCTCTCTCAAATCACATGCGCCGACTACAACAGGTGTAGACTTTACCGTGAAACGCTTGCTTGGGAGCCCTTCCCAGCGATGTAAAGTAAAAAAATTAATTAATAGTAACGCGAGGAATAAAATACACAAGAATGAAGCTATATACAGGGAGTACCAGATGAATGTTCAGGGTTACAAGGCATTTGAGGTAGATGCATCTAACATCTCATTCCAAAGTCATGGGCATTAATATGGAGTTGGTCCCCCCTTTGCTGCTATAACAGCCTCCACTCTTCTGGGAAAGCTTTCCACTAGAAGTTAGAACATTGCTGCGGGGACTTGCTTCCATTCAGCCATGAGTATTAGTGAGGTCGGGCACTGATGTTGGGCGATAAGGCCTGGCTCGCAATCAGTGTTCCAATTCATCCCAAAGGTGTTCGATGGGGTTTAGGTCAGGGCTCTGTGCAGGCCAACCAAGTTCTTCCACACCAATCTCGACAAACCATTTCTGTATGGACCTCGCGTTGTGCACGGGGGCCATTGTCATGCTGAAACAGGAAAGGGCCTTCCCCAAACTGTTCCCACAAAGTTGGAAGCACAGAATCGTCTATAAAGTAATTGTATGCTGTAGCGTTAAGATTTCCCTTCATTGGAACTAAGGGGCCTAGCCTGAACCATGAAAAACAGCCCCTAACAATTATTCCTCCTCCACCAAACTTTATAGTTGACACTATGCATTGGGGCAGGTAGCGTTCTCCTGGCATCCGCCAAACCCAGATTCGTCCGTCGGACTGCCAGATGGTGAAGCGTGATTCATCACTCCAGAGAACGTGTTTCCACTGCTCCAGAGTCCAATGGCGGCGAGCTTTACACCACTCCAGCCAATGATTGGCATTCGCATGGTGATCTTAGGCTTGTGTCTGGCTGCTCGGCCATGGAAACCCATTTCATGAAGCTCCCTACTAACAGTTTTTGTGCTGATGTTGCTTCCAGAGGCAGTTTGGAACTCAGTAGTGAGTGTTACAACTGAGGACAGACGATTTTTACACGCTACACGCTTCAGCACTCAGCGGTCCAGTTCTGTGAGCTTGTGTGGCCAACCACTTTGCGGCTGAGCCGTTGTTGCTCCTAGGCGTTTCCACTTCACAATAACAGCACTTACAGTTGACTGGGTCAGCTCTAGCAGGGCAAAAAAATTACGAACTGACTTGTTGGAAAGGTGGCATCCTATGACGGTGCTAAGTTGAGTCACTGAGCTCTTCATTGAGGATATTCTACTGCCAATGTTTGTCTATGGAGATTGCATGGCCGTGTGCTTGATTTTATACGCCTATCAGCAACGGGGTGGCTGAAATAGCATGATCCACTAATTTGAAGGGGTGTCCACATACTTTTGTGTATATAGTGTATGTACATGAAGGCAGGGTAAAGTGACTAGGTATCAAGAAGAAGAAGAATAGACAGAGTAGCAGCAACATATGAGTGTAAAAGTGTGTTCTGTATGATTGTGTGTGGGTTTTATGTCAGAGTAGTCTGTCTGTCTGTCGAAGCTGTCTTGAAGCCTGTTGGGCCGAGGGCCAAATTTTATTTTATTTATTTAATTTTTTTCGGTACCGTTTGCTGACGTCGACTCACTCACTGACTTCACACACAGTTTCTCCAGACAAATTCTCAAATGATTGGGGGATGTCATTATTGTTGGTTACAAAGTCAGGGCCACAATCACTAGTGGAACATTACAGATAGAAATGTCATGAATAAAGCTCATGTGATTCCTGATTTCTACATGTCAGACTCATATTAACTCTACATAATACATTTTATATCTGAACGTTCCACAATGCTGTTCACTGCTGGCCCAGGTTTTACCACCCATGTCTGGGCCCAAGAAAAACGAATCCTAGATCAGCATTCCCTCTGAGATGCTTTATGAACTCCATACAGCTGCCACAGAGAGTGAGGCTTTCTACTTCTCCTGTTTCAGAGTGGCAGAGGCCCTGCTTCCAGGCATTGAGTTTCACCGCTACGTAAGAGATGGCATCTCCCTGGTGAGGTCATCATCTGCATACCAGGTGCATGAGGATGTTCTCCAACATCTTGACTTTGGTGAGCAACAAGTTCATCATGACCATTTCTGAGGTTGTCGAAAGTAATGCTATGGATATCTTATAGCTAGTATGGTAATAGTATAACAAACCAGTTGTTAAGAGTGTGACAAACAATATTATGGATGTGATGATCATTTATTTATGTCTTTCCACCCATAGTTGGAGGTGTTCACCGCTTTCCACCCAAGGGGCAGGACCTCAATGAAGTCTTGACAAAGAGGAGACGGTCTGGAGCGAAGTTTCATCTTGGAAACACACCCGCCACCCTCAGGTCTCGATACAACCTGACAGCAGCGGACGTGGGTTCAGCTCAGAACAACAGTCAAGCCGTGGCTCAGGTATTTGACCACTTGTTATGTCAATACCAATGGACAGCTGTGTCGGACTAGAACAGTTGATAGAAAATATAGGGGGCAAATGTTTTGCCTCGATCTAACAATGAACTTGCCTGTCTGGCATAATGTGAATCTAAGGGCTCAATTCAATCAGCCCACTTTGCTCAGTAGCTCTCTTTCCCATGGTCAAATAAAAATACTAAACTGATCTTTGGTACTATATACAAACCTACAACTACTGCCAGGTAGACACCCCTCACAGATGTGCTTTCACTTTTCAGAATGAGAAGAGTGTGTGAGTAGGATGACATTTGTACGGTGGATATGGTTTGATTGAATTCCAGCATAGCTATCATCTTATCCTCTGTCCAGTTCTTGGAGCAGTTCTACCACCCTGCTGACCTGGCTGAGTTCATGATGCTGTACGGACGGGGATTCCAGCACCTGTCTAAGATTGACCGGGTGGTGGGCGTTCAGGGAGCAGGGAAGGCCGGTCTGGAGGCCAGCCTGGATGTGGAGTACATCATGAGCACAGGGGCCAACATCTCCACGTGGGTCTTCACCAATCCAGGTATACTAACAATGACAAACCAGAGTGTTAATGTAGCCTTAGTCACGTTGCCTTTGCAAAAAAAGGTTTCTTTACATTTGCATGTTAATCATTTGGCGGACGTGACTTATAATAAGTGCATTGAACTAAGGAAGGCGTGACGACCACATATCATCGTCGCGAGTAAGCTAAAACCTTTCCAAGAATGCTCCTAGCAACATCCACAATGCTAGTGAGATCAAATACCCAGTGGTATATATATTTTTGTATCTTTAGCTATGTCTCATATGTCCATACTAATATACCACTTAGAATGAAGCAATGTATTGGGGATGCACTCTTAGTACAGGTAGGTAGTATGCTAGAGTAGATATTGAAACAGCCTTTGTCTGATAGTGGTTTGATAATGGATACTTCTTGACTGCTCCTCAGGTCGCCATGAGTCCCAGGAGCCATTCCTCCAGTGGATGTTGCTGCTCAGCAACATGACGGACATCCCGTGGGTCCACACCATCAGCTACGGGGACGATGAGGACAGCCTGTCCTCCGCCTACATGATGCGCATCAACACTGAGTTCATGAAGGCTGGCGTCCGGGGAATCTCTATACTGTTTGCCTCAGGTTAGTCTGTGCTAGCCTGGGCCAAAATCTGTTTGTGCTGTCTTGCCAACACCAATGGTCAAAATGCATGACAATGACCATCGGTGTTGGCAAAAGCGCACAAATAGATCTGGGACCAGGCTAAGTCAACATTTTCTGTTTTTTTGGCTTTTTACTTATAAGTGTTTACGATCTTGATCTAGTAGTCAGACAGTGACAGCAGATTTATGATTGTACATTTAAAATGATCTAGACTATTTGAATAGTTCAAACTCAAGCAGGTGTTGTGGATGTTGTAAGAGGTGATGTGGCCTTGGTTTTTGTGGTGATGCCATTGTTACTTTGGAAATGTGTAATTTCAGATATGAGTCAGGCAGGCATATGATACATGAACACGGCACCATGTTTAATTGAGTAAATTGACTACTAAAATTGTGGACAATGTTTTTTTTTGTAATCCATAATAATGTCATCTTGGGTAAGACTATAATTTCCCTGAAGTTCGTTTTCATACTTTAACAATCTTGCCTCAGGTGATAGTGGAGCTGGCTGCAAACACTTGACCAAAGGAGAGAATTCTTTCAGACCAAGCTTTCCTGCATCAAGGTGAGCCATTTTCACTGTTGAAAGAAACGAATGGCACTTGTGTTATTTGGGTATTCATTGCTTTATTTGAATCCATAAAATACGGAAAGTATTCGATTTTGTGCAAGATTCAATCCAATCGCAGGTTATAGAGTGGCGCAGCGGTCTAAGGCACTGCATCTCAGTGCTTGAGGCGTCACTACAGACCCCCTGGTTCGATTCCAGGCTGTATCACAATCGGCCGTGATTGGGAGTCCCATAGGGCGGTGCACAATTGGCCCAGCGTCGTCCGGGTTTGGCCGGTGTAGGCCGTCATTGTAAATAAGAATTCGTTCTTAACTGACTTGCCTAGTTAAATAAAGGTAAAATAAATAAAAATAAATACGCATTCCGGTTTTTAAAGGCAGTTTCTCGATTGATTTGACATATGCAGCGTTTAACGTGGCAACATTGACTTTAAATGCCGCAGTGCTTGTAGACCGGTTGGTTGACAAAGTCACGACAATGATGTGTGCGCATCTGAGGCTAAATACTTAGTCTCTAAACTAGTCAACAATAGTCTATTTTGTAATCTGAAATCAATAGAATAAGAGAACCATTGTCTTTGTGGGGCAGTGGGGTCGGTTTTCCAGTCCATACCCAAATCTGTTCTCCAAAGTGAATTTCTATGCTTTCAGCCCATACGTGACGACAGTGGGGGGAACTTCATTCAAGAATCCATTCAAGATCACCTATGAGGTCACGGACTACATCAGTGGCGGCGGCTTCAGCAATGTTTTTAAGATGCCAGACTACCAGGTATTAAGAGCGTCTATGCAGGACATAAACTCACGGACACTGCCATAGGTCTTTCCTAAATATGTGCTTTTTAAAGTGATCTTTAGAATTAAAAAAAATATATATATATATATATATATGTTGTACGTAACTGAGTAAAAAGACAAATTAGATGTATTCACTAACTATCAGTTTAGGTACACAAAAGTTCTACCAACAGATGAGGTCCAGGCTAATTCTACCAGTAGACCTAATTGATGCACACTAAATGATGTGTGAAGTATTTATTTATGTATGGTTTATTTGGATAGAGACTGATACAAATACGTTGATTGAATAAACAATGATCTGATAGCTTGTCACTTTTTGCCGTAGGTCGGTGCTGTGGAGGGTTATCTGAAAGCGGTGTCGAGTCTCCCTCCAAAGACGTACTTCAACACCAGTGGACGGGCCTACCCAGACATAGCCGCTCTCTCAGACAACTACTGGGTGGTCACCGATAGGGTACCTATCCCCTGGGTGTCTGGTACTTCGGTAAGAAAATAGTATCTCATAGGGTGAATCTCAAAAGTATTTTGTTGATTCCTCGTACAACCTCAAAACAGATTGGAGAAGATCTTCCAATATACTTTGAGAAGGAGGCAAAGAATAAACTCAGACTTTTTAGATTCACCTATTTTTTTCTCTCACCTGCTTATCTCCAAATGTAAAAAGTATTCAACTGTATCTATGAGAAATACTATATATGTTATTATATTTACATGTTTGTCATTTTAGCAAACACTTTTATCCAGAGCAACTTAAAGGAGCAATTAGTGCCTTGCTCAAGGGCACATTGACATATTTTTCACCTAGTCAGCTCTGGAAATAGAACCAGCAACATTTCAGTTACTGGCCCAATGCTCTTAAACACTAAGCTACCTGTCGACTCTTGGATCATATAATGCATTAACAATGAATATTTACTCATGTGTTGTTCTTTAGGCCTCCACCCCTGTGGTTGGAGGAATCCTCTCTCTGATCAACGACCAGCGCTTTCTGAAAGGCCTGCCTTCTCTGGGCTTCCTCAATCCCCGCCTGTACCAGCTGCAGGGCCAGGGACTCTTTGATGTAAGTCACTGATCATTCGATATGGGGAAAATAAGACTAGTTTCATGTTGGGTATGGTGGTGTCATGTATGTGTATAGTCACAGTAGTGGTGGGAAAAACTACCCAATAGTCATACTTGAGTTAAAGTAAAGATACCTTAAACGAAAATGACTCAAGTGAAAGTCACCTAGTAAAAGACTACTTGAGTGAAAGTCTAAAAGTATTTGGTTTTAACTATACTTAAGTATAAAAAATAAATGTAATTACTAAAATATACTTAAGTATCAAAAGTAAAAGTATGAATCATTTCAGATTCCTAACCACACGGCACCATTTTATTTTTTATTTATTTATTTATGGATAACAGGGGCACACTCCAACACTTAGACATATTTACAAATGAATCATTTGTGTTTAGTGAGTCTGCCAGATCAGAGGCAGTAGGGATGACCAGGGATGTTCTCTTGATAAGTGTGTGAATATGACAATTTTCCTGTCCTAGTAAGCATTAAAAATGTAACAAGTACTTTTGGGTGTCAGGGAAAATGTATGGCGTAAAAAGTACATTATTTTCTTGAGGAATGTAGTAAAGTAAAAGTTGTCAAATAGTAAAGTACAGATGTACTACTTAAGTACTTTACGGCAATGGAGCATCTAGTGCAGGGGTTCTCAAAGTTGGGTGTACTGCAGGGGATCCGCGGACAGATAAAGTGTGTATATATATATATATATATATGTGGGGGAAAAAAGTATTTAGTCAGCCACCAATTGTGCATGTTCTCCCACTTAAAAAGATGAGAGAGGCCTGTAATTTTCATCATAGGTACACGTCAACTATGACAGACAAAATGAGGAAAAAAAATCCAGAAAATCACTTTGTAGGATTTTTAATGAATTTATTTGCTAATTATGGTGGAAAATAAGTATTCGGTCAATAACAAAAGTTTCTCAATACTTTGTTATATACCCTTTGTTGGCAATGACACAGGTCAAACGTTTTCTGTAAGTCTTCACAAGGTTTTCACACACTGTTGCTGGCATTTTGGCCCATTCCTCCATGCAGATCTCCTCTAGAGCAGTGATGTTTTGGGGCTGTCGCTGGGCAACACGGACTTTCAACTCACTCCAAAGATCTGGAGACTGGCTAGGCCACTCCAGGACCTTGAAATGGTTCTTACGAAGCCACTCCTTCGTTGCCCGGGTGGTGTGTTTGGGATCATTGTCATGCTGAAAGACCCAGCCACGTTTCATCTTCAATGCCCTTGCTGATGGAAGGAGGTTTACACTCAAAATCTCACGATACATGGCCCCGTTCATTCTTTCCTTTACACGGATCAGTCGTCCTGGTCCCTTTGCAGAAAAACAGCCCCAAAGCATGATGTTTCCACCCCCATGCTTCACAGTAGGTATGGTGTTCTTTGGATGCAACTCAGCATTCTTTGTCCTCCAAACACGACGAGTTGAGTTTTTACCAAAAAGTTCTATTTTGGTTTCATCTGACCATATGACATTCTCCCAATCCTCTTCTGGATCATCCAAATGCACTCTAGCAAACTTCAGACGGGCCTGGACATGTACTGGCTTAAGCAGGGGGACACGTCTCGCACTGCAGGATTTGAGTCCCTGGCGGCGTAGTGTGTTACTGATGGTAGGCTTTGTTACTTTGGTCCCAGCTCTCTGCAGGTCATTCACTAGGTCCCCCCGTCTGGTTCTGGGATTTTTGCTCACCGTTCTTGTGACCATTTTGACCCCACGGGGTGAGATCTTGCATGGAGCCCCAGATCGAGGGAGATTATCAGTGGTCTTGTATGTCTTCCATTTCCTAATAATTGCTCCCACAGTTGATTTCTTCAAACCAAGCTACCTATTGCAGATTCAGTCTTCCCAGCCTGGTGCAGGTCTACAATTTTGTTTCTGGTGTCCTTTGACAGCTCTTTGGTCTTGGCCATAGTGGAGTTTGGAGTGTGACTGTTTGAGGTTGTGGACAGGTGTCTTTTATACTGATAACAAGTTCAAACAGGTGCCATTAATACAGGTAACGAGTGGAGGACAGAGGAGCCTCTTAAAGAAGAAGTTACAGGTCTGTGAGAGCCAGAAATCTTGCTTGTTTGTAGCTGACCAAATACTTATTTTCCACCATAATTTGCAAATAAATTCATAAAAAATCCTACAATGTGATTTTCTGGAGAGAAAAAATTCTCAATTTGTCTGTTATAGTTGACGTGTACCTATGATGAAAATTACAGGCCTCTCTCATCTTTTTAAGTGGGAGAACTTGCACAATTGGTGGCTGACTAAATACTTTTTTCCCCCACTGTATATATATATATATAGTGTACCAGTCAAAAGTTTGGAGACACCTACTCATTCCAGGGTTTTTCTTTTCTTTTTACTATTTTCTACATTGTAAAATAATAGTGAAGACATAAACTTTTAATTAACACATATGGAATCATGAAGTAACCAAAAAAGTGTTAAACAAATCAAAATATATATATTTTTTGAGATTCTTCAAAGTAGCCACCCTTTGCCTTGATGACAGCTTTGCGCGCTCTTGGCATTCTCTCAACCAGCTTCATGAGGTAGTCACCTGGAATGCATTTCAATTAACAGGTGTGCCTTGTTATTTTGTGGAATTTCCTTCCTTCTTAATGCGTTTGAGCCAATCAGTTGTGTTGTGACAAGGTAGAGGTGGTATACAGAAGTTAGCCCTATTTGGTAAAATACCAAGTCCATATTATGGCAAGAACAGCTCAAATAAGCAAAGAGAAACGACAGTCCATCGTTACTTTAAGACATGAAGGTCAGTCAATCCGGAACATTTCAAGAACTTTAAAAGTTTCTTCAAGTGCAGTCGCAAGAACCATCAAGCTCTATGATGAAACTGGTTCTCATGAGGACCGCCACAGGAAAGGAAGACCCAGAGTTACCTCTGCTGCAGAGGATAAGTTCATTAGCGTTAACTGCACCTCAGATTGCAGCCCAAATAAATGCTTCACAGAGTTCAAGTAACAGACACATCTCTACATCAACTGTTCAGAGGAGACTGCGTGAATCAGGCCTTCATGGTCTAATTGCTGCAAAGAACCCACTACTAATGGACACCAATAAGAAGAGGCTTGCTTGGGCCAAGATACACGAGCAATGGACATTAGACCGGTGGAAATCTGTCCTTTTGGTCTGATGAATCCAAATTTGAGATTTTTGGTTCCAACCGCTGTGTCTTTGTGAGATGCGGAGTAGGTGAACAGATCATCTCTGCATGTGTGGTTCCCACAGTGAAGCATGGAGGAGGAGGTGTGATGGTGTGGGGGTGCTTTTCTTGTGACACTGTCCGTGATTTATTTAGAATTCAAGGCACACTTAACCAGCATGGCTACCACAGCATTCTGCAGCGATACGCCATCCATCTGGTTTGCGCTTAGTGGGACTATCATTTTGTTTTTCACAGGACAATGATCCAACACACCTCCAGGCTGTATAAGGGCTATTTGACTAAGAAGGGGAGTGCTGCATCAGATGACCTGGCCTCCACAATCATCCGACCTCAACCCAATTAAGATGGTTTGGGATGAGTTGGACTACAGAGTGAAGGAAAAGCAGCCAACAAGTGCTCAGCATATGTGGGAACTCCTTCAAGACTGTTGGAAAAGCATTCCTCATGAAGCTGGTTGAGGGAATGCCAAGATTGTGCAAAGCTGTCATCAAGGCAAAGGGTGGCTATTTGAAGAATCTGAAATATAAAATATATTTTGAATTGTTTACATGATTCCATATGTGTTATTTCATAGTAAAGATAAAGAAACCCCCTTGAATAGGTGTCCAAACTTTTGACTGGTAATATATATATATATATATATATAAACAATCAATTTAAACTAATTTTGGCCAAGGAATAAGTTTAGTGTGTAATAAATTGTTAACCCTATTACATTGTATGTTCAGGCTCACATGGGTATTGGTATCCACAGTACTCCAAGAATTATCCCTGTTTCAACTCAATACTTATTGTATTCCCAAAAATGGTTGCATTTTTCAACATAAAAAAATATATATATTCTCTTAGCATCATGGCAAAATGTGTAGAATTGCAGGATATTGGCTTTTTAAAAGCTGGAACAGCTAAAAACATCTCTTCCCTATAAAAATGTGTAGAATTGCAGCACATTTCCTTAAATTGCAACATTTTCTCTCCAGTGCCAAGAGGCGGGCCTTTAAAATGTTCCTTCCCAGGGCCCGAGACTTGGTTAATCCAGCCATGCACTGCTGGCTAAATCATAGTAAAATGCCTTGTATGAGATAGATGGAGAGATCTCAGTCTAGTTGTGTTCTGATTTTATGAATTTGCTAAGGTATCCCCCGCCCCAAAAAGTTTGAGAATCCCTTGAGCTATTGTTTCTCAATGTTGTATTGTGAAGACCACCACAAGATGGCAGTAAAGAAGAGGTTTCCTCCTGTCATTCCATTTACTGACTGCTTTCTGTTCCGACCCCCAGGTGACTGATGGTTGTCACCTGAGCTGTCTGGACGAGCAGGTCCAGGGGAAGGGTTTCTGCGCGGCACCATCGTGGGACCCAGTCACCGGATGGGGAACGCCCAACTACCCTGCTCTGCTGGCTGCCCTGGTGTTGGAGAAATGAACGCCTGGGACTCTATTCAGAAAGTGCAAATGTAACAGAATGTTAAGATAGAAAGGTAGTGTGTGGAACAAACCTTTGTCTGCGGTGTAGAGTAGAGATTGTGTCAGCTCTATATTTGTTACATTTCTAACTGCAACTTTCTGAACGTTTCACCTCAGAATACACCCCTGACAATTTTGAAGTACTTCAGCTGCCTGCTTATATGGTGTCAAGCAATGCCTCCTTTCACCTTCCATTGTAAATTACACTGGACAGATACTTTTATTTTTAAATGGAAAACACAATTCTGGCATATCCTTCGTCTCAGGTTGTTTGATACTTTTGAAGGATAGACTCATTTAATGTGGTCAGTGACATAAAATATACATTAATTTTCACTGTTACAAGTTCATCAGTCAGCCATATGATCGTAACCAGATCTGGTGGGCTAATCAATGACAAGGTACGTAGATCAAACAGGTATTCTTTTCATATTGTTTTTGCATGCGTGTAATGATAAATATTTCTACTCAAAAGGGTGGTGAAGTTAGGCCTATGCTATACATTTCTTATCTGAATCTTGGACAAATCGTTTTTTGCTTGAGGAGAGAAGCAGCATTTACCATGGTGTTATTGATTTCAAATATGTTCTGTGGTTGCACACACAGGCCTATACCAAATAATTACCGATTTTAATCTTGATGTGCTCATTTGAGCAAATTGATTCTGCAAATCTCTATCCACCAGAATTGTTGCACTTGTTTTTACTTTTTAATAGGTTTTTGGAAATGGTCCATGCAATGTATAAAATAAAGACTGCATTGATTGTAAACATTGAATGAAGTTGGAAATAATGAGTTCGCTCTGCCGTCCGTACTTGAACTTGTCTTTGCTTTGAGGAAATAAACTGTACTTACTGGTGGTGAAATTGTATTTCATTTCTGTATGTCTGTAGAGAACTGAAATTAGACTGAATAACAACCAACCACAAATGGATACAAGAACAGGATGAAAATCCATATCCACAGATCACTGACAGCATCAAACTGCAGAGCAAAATCAGATGTGTGGCAGAGAAAGGAAATAAATAGAAAATGTGGCATTCTGGCCATTTATTGAAAAGACCTGTCATAAATACATTTTAACATTGTTCACCATGTTCCTATCAACCATTCAATTTCAATGTAGGTACCAATTTGGAACAGTCCTTACCGATGGGAAATGTCACATTTAAAAAAAAAAAAAGACTTTTTAATCCGTCATAACCTTAAAGGGGCAATCTGCAGGTGCTACATCCATTATTAATGATATTTATCCATTGATTCTTGAATATACACTGTGTACAAAACATTAAGGACACCTGCTCTTTACATGACATAGGCTGGCGAAAAAGGGAAAAATGTATTTGATCCCCTGCTGATTTTGTACGTTTGCCCACTGACAAAGAAATTATCAGTCTATAATTTTAATGGTAGGTTTATTTGAACAGTGAGAGACAGAATAACAACAAAAAAATCTATAAATTGATTGGCATTTTAATGAGGGAAATAAGTATTTGGCCCTTCTGCAAAACATGACTTAGTACTTGGTGGCAAAACCTTTGTTGGCAATCACAGAGGTCAGACGTTTCTTGTAGTTGGCCACCAGGTTTGCACACATCTTCTGGAGGGATTTTGTCCCACTCCTCTTTGCAGATCTTCTCCAAGTCCTTAAGGTTTCGAGGCTGACGTTTGGCAACTCGAACCTTCAGCTCCCTCCACATATTTTCTATGGGATTAAGGTCTGGAGACTGGCTAGGCCACTCCAGGACCTTAATGTGCTTCTTCTTGAGCCACTCCTTTGTTGCCTTGGCCGTGTGTTTCGGGTCATTGTCATGCTGAAATACCCATCCACAACCCATTTTCAATGCCCTGGCTGAGGGAAGGAGGTTCTCACCCAAGATTTGACGGTACATGGCCCGTCCATCGTCCCTTTGATGCGGTGAAGTTGTCCTGTCCCCTTAGCAGAAAAACACCCCCAAGGCATAATGTTTCCACCTCCATGTTTGATGGTGCAGATGGTGTTCCTGGGGTCATAGGCAGCATTCCTCCTCCTCCAAACATGGCGAGTTGAGTTGATGCCAAAGAGCTCCATTTTGGTCTCATCTGACCACAACACTTTCACCCAGTTCTCCTCTGAATCATTCAGATGTTCATTGGCAAACTTCAGACGGGCATGTATATGTGCTTTCTTGAGCAGGGGGACCTTGCGGGCGCTGCAGGATTTCAGTCCTTCACGGCGTAGTGTGTTACCAATAGTTTTCTTGATTTGCGAATAATCTTATCAACTGATGTCACCTTCTCACCAAGCTGCTTGGCGATGGTCCCATTCCAGCCTTGTGTAGGTCTACAATCTTGTCCCTGACATCCTTGGAGAGCTCTTTGGTCTTGGCCATGGTGGAGAGTGGAATCTGATTCATTGATTGCTTCTTATACAGGTAACAAGCTGAGATTAGGAGCACTCCCTTTAAGAGTGTGCTCCTAATCTCAGCTCGTTACCTGTATAAAAGACACCTGGGAGCCAGAAATCTTTCTGATTGAGAGGGGGTCAAATACATATTTCCCTCATTCAAATGCAAATCAATTTATAACATTTTCGACATGCGTTTTTCTGGATTTTTGTTGTTGTTATTCTGTCTCTCACTGTTCAAATAAACCTACCATTAAAATTATAGACTGATCATTTCTTTGTCAGTGGGCAAACATACAAAATCAGCAAGGGATTAAATACTTTTTTCCCTCACTGTATAAATTCTGCATGTGCTTAGTTCAACTGTCGTACACTATCAGAGGGGTATACTATGATTGAAGCTAGATCTCAGGGTTTTCTAAAGCTAGCCAGCTTCAGTTAGCTTTACATTCCAGCTCAGGCTTCATCTGTACTACAATGGTAGATATTGCTCGTCTGCCTGCAGCTAACTCTAGCACTCTTGTAACTGCATGGGCCTCCCGAGTGGCGCAGCGGTCTAAGGCACTGCATCGCAGTGCTGGAGGCGTCACTACAGACCGGGGTTTGATCCCAGGCTGTGTCCCAGCCGGCCGCGACCGGGAGACATATGAGGCGGTGCACAATTTGCCCAGTGTCGTCCGGGTTAGGGGGGGGGGGTTGACCGGCCCGGATGTCCTTGTCCCATCGCGCTCTAGCGACTCCTTGTGGCGGGCCGGGCGCATGCACGCTGACTTCGGTCGCCAGGTGTAAGGTGTTTCCTCCGACACATTGGTGCGGCTGGCTTCCGGGTTAAGAGAGCAGTGTGTCAAGAAGCAGTGCAGCTTGGCAGGGTCGTGTTTCGGAGGATGCATGGCTCTTGACCTTCGCCTCTCCCGAGTCCGTACGGGAGTTGCAGCTATGGGACAAGACTGTAACTACCAATTGGACATCACGAAATGTGGGGTAAAAAATTAAAAGGCTTGCATGTGGCTAGTCAAACGCCATACTCTTAATTGAAGCAATGCTGAAACATCCAGCCATGGGTGAGTCAGTGCCACATTTTAATTTGTGCCAAAATTGAAGGTCAGCCATTTGCCAAGCTGATCTGGCACCATTGATCCTCACCAAGGAGAGTGTCATGACAGTGCCCCTCTGGTGGGTTCAAGCTTGGAAAGATTCTGCAAGTTGCAACCCACCATAAAAATGACCACGGGATGTCCTGGTTGTGGATCATCGTTGCGGTCCCCTTCTGGTGGTTTGCTCTGGTAGGATTTCTGCAAGCTGCATACCACCACAAGAATGGCCAGGGGATGTCCTGGTTGGGGATTGCCGTTGCGGTCCCGTCGTCCGGTTGTCCAGGCAGTAACTTAGGCAGATGTTAATGCACAACACTCACAAAATACATCATTACATTTCTTCCCCAAATGAGTGGCGCTGTGGCACTAACTGATTGTTGTATGGGGAACTTGTTTATGGCTCTATCACTTCCTAAGTGTCAAAGAAAATGAAACAGAAATGAATAAAAGCATAAACAAAAGATATACAAAATAGTGAGAAAATTGAAAAAGATAAGTCAACATGACTAGGTGTGGATTTGCCGGACAACAGGTCAGCCAAAATTAACACCATTTGCGAGGATGTAAACAATCAAATTACTCCCGCTCTCACTCGAGACCCTATCCAGGGCCCGCTCGATCAAGAAACAAGCCCAAAGGCTTTGACTATTGACTCTGATACCAATGTTGCGAAGCAAAAGGTAAAAAACATTGCAATAGCCAATTCCTCTCAAACCCCGATAAGTCGACCTGTCTTCACCATGAACACAAATGACACATCACGTCGTTGAGAACAACTACTCCACTTTGTGGGGAATATGACCATAAAAAGCAACTCAAAAAGCCCATACCTGGAAACAGTCCTGGAGGACTGCTTAACCTGTGATGCGCTAATTGATTAGGGCACGACATTATCGCTAATCTCTCAAACGTTGTTTAATGATCTCAAAATCGGAACGATGCGACACTACATTTAGAGGTTTCACTCAGACTACCTCAACTCAGACTCACGCTGAAACTACACTTCACCCTGTGTATGTTACCAGCCTCGAAACTGAACACCTGCTACTCGGAGCAGACTTGATGGATCGTTTGATCCCACTAATGGATTGGAAAACCATCCAAGTATGGTCACTGGTAACCGTGCCGTCTTCACTGACCACACTGTCTTCTCCGAACGCTAGCTGCAACACAGTAATCTAATAGGGGTATCTATCGAAAGAACCCCTTGGGAAAAAGACGTTTCAACACCTCTTGGTGCAGAATCTGACCCAAGGAGATATTACGATATCTCGTCACATTCAATCAGCAAACCTGATAGACCATTCTTTTCACTACGTGCAACACTGTACGAGGCCGCCAGAGCAGGAAACAAATCTAGTTGTAAACTTCCCCATGAGAACAGAGAGGAGCGGACAGGCCCCTCGACGGGGATAACCTTAGAGCACATCTGAGATATAACTGAGGTGTACCACACTGGTCGTGAACCTCCAAAACAAATGGCAACACCAATAATTCCTTGCCATGTGTAGTTTCAACTACGATGCAACTAGTGACATGCTCTAATCATGTGTTCCGGTAGGATAACACTTCAGAATAACTCGGTAGGATAGCTGGTCCCCTTGAGTACCAGTACCAATGCCAGCCACACTAAGAAGGTTAGAGACCTAACAAGTCGAATTGCCCTTGACAACAGCGACAGAGGAGTTAGTAGTCACTCAGATTGCAACACGTGGAAGGGAATCTCCCAACACACTCTTCTGATGGTTAACACACATGCCACTAATAAATAGAACCCTCCATTCAGGAGGAAAGTTATTAGAAGTCAAGAACCATGATCACACCGCGTACGACTTGTTCTGTGCTTATAGAGTACTGCCGTCGTGAGGTTAACTCCTCCGTGGATAACATAGCTATGAAATAGACTCCTTCATAACCTATCGCCACTATACATGGTGTAAGACACATTGACTTGTAGTAAAACCACTACAGGTCCACTTGGTATATAGCTTGAGGTTGGCACCGATTCTTACTGGCACACGGTCATTGACATGGAAATTATCTGATGACGTCAGACTCATTCTGAACAGGTTGCAGCCGACACGGATACTTGATTTTCTTTCCCTTGGCATGTGCGCTTGTGTAAGCATGAACGCACAGGTACAACGGAACATTTAATTTATGCTAGGATCACGTAAGGGTCTGAGTAAAAATAACAGCCTTGGTAAAGTTGAAAATGTACCCTGAGGCCTTTTGATTCTACAGCTACCGTACTCACCAGTTTCTCCCCAGAAGTCCATAGGTCGTCCCTGTAGACTGTCCGAAGCTAGTGCCTTACAGCTGTAGATGTATCATGTAGCTATCAACTTAGGATAGTGCCCTAAGCATTACACCTCTAAGTAGGA